GGGGTAAAAATTTTAAAATTATATATAAAGACCTGATCAAGTTATATATTAAGAGAGGGGGGAGTAAGCTTCTAATAAAAAAAAATCAGATGATAAATGATACTACCCTAATAACAATAAGTAACAAATTAATCATTTTATTTATTTTAAATAACTCAAAAATGTAATATTTATTATAGCCAGAAAGTATTGTAATTACATTTTTTCTAAATATTTAGAATATTCCGCTTTTTAAAAATAAATAATCAATAGTTATAATCTTACAGAAGAGCATTAAAAATAAAATCATGATTTTTTGGTTTAATTGCATTTCTTGATTAATTTTTATAATTTTATTTCGATTTTCTTTCTTTTTTCATTTATTGTTAATGAAAATTTGGTTATAGCAATCAATATATACTTTTAGAATAATGTGTTTATTAGATTTTATGCTTTTAACATCCACTTTTCACTTCAAAGAATCAAAGAAAAAAAATCACTTATTAAATCAATTATGTTAATATTTTAATAAATATTATTTTCATGATCTAATCATTATAAATTGACAATTTCACATGATTTTTGAAACATTTTTGGGTGGTGACTTTACCCTGGTCATTAAAGTCAAATTATAATCAGAGTTATTTCTTGAAGATTAATGTTACAGTGAAAAATGCCTAAGTTAAAAAGAAGGTAACCTTATTGTTTGGTATTGTTTGAAGGTTTCTTGGTTACATAGTTCAATCATGACTATCGACTGAACTTAATTAGCCAGAATTGCAAGTAATTAATGATATAACATATGTAATCAAAAATAAAAACAGCTGTTATATAAATTTGCTAGCCAGGCTGGGTTAGGCTAGGTTAGGCATAGTTTTAAACAAGCCTGGCCTGATTTATTTTTACGGGCTTTTTTTTTCAGGCCAGGTTTGAGATTTATAAATAATTTTTGGGTTGAGTTTCGGGTCTGAGCAGGCCCGACCTGATTCAGCCTGTTTCGCACCCTATGTATAATAAGAAATCTTGTAGAATATTTTGTCAAACTTCTTTTGGTCCCTCTGTATATATTTTGATAATTCTCTGTTTATAGGTTGAGGTGTAAACTTGATAAGTCTGTTATGTAAGAATGATTGTAAGAGTTTTTGTCTTTCTTCTGTCTATAACACATTGTCTTTATAAATCTTAGTTGTTAACTCCTATATTTCTGTGATTGGTATAAACATCACAATGCTTTGTTCGTTTAAAAAGTAATATTCATTGTCTGACAACTAGACATTATTTTTATTATACATACCATCTTTATTTCTATTATCATTCTTACTAATATTCATATTACTCTTGTTGTTATTGTACTCTAGGAGTCTGTTCTGCTCATTTATTTCATGATTATTCATAGGAACTTGTGGG